TCTAAGTGTTGTTGTTCCATTTATAGAGCACAGGCACAAAAGATTTAGCATAATTCTTAAGGGCCCTAGGGTTTTGGAATAGCAAATGAGCATTGGCTCCAACATAAAGTCACCAGCTGCATTAGCCCCTAACAAGAGTCAGTCTGTCCTTTGAAGCTTTAAAGTCAGACATTGACGTCTCTTCTCTAGCTGTGAAAGACCTAGGTGTCATCTTCTTCCAATAGAAGACTGTTTCATCTACACTGAAAATATGTTGTTTGGTGTAGCCATCTTTGTCAGTGATCTTAGCTAGATCTTCTGGATAACTTGCTGCAGCTTCTACATCAGCACTTGCTGCTTCACCTTGTGCTTTCCTTAAACCTCGTGAACCAACCTCTGCTAGCTTCCAATCTTTCTTTCACAGCTTCTTCACCTCTCTTAACCTTCATAGAATTGAAGAAAATTGGGTTCTTGCTATGGATTAGATTTTGGCTTAAGGGAATGCTGTAACTGGTTTGGTCTTCTATCCAGGGCTCTAAAGCTTTCTCTGAATCAGCAATAAGGCTGTTTTGCTTTCTTATCATTCATGCGTTCACAGAAGTAGCACTTTTAATTTCCTTCAAAAACTTTACTTTACATTGGTAACTTGGCTCTTTGGCACAAGAGGCCTAGCTTTTGGCCTGTCTTAGCTTTCGATGTATTTTCCTCACTAAGCTTAATGATTTCTTGCTTTTGATTGAAAATGAGAGATGTGAGACTCTTCCTTTCATTGCAATATTTAGAGGCCATTGTAGGGTTATTCATTGGCCCAATTTCAGTATGTTGTGTCTGGGAATAGGGAGGCCCAAGGAGAGAAACGGAGGAACTGCTGGTTGGTGGAGCAGTCAGAATGTGTACATTTATTAAGTTTGCCTATGGGCATGGTTCGTGATGCCTCAAAACAATGACAATAGTAACACCATAGATCACTGATCACAGATCACCATACCAGATACAATAATAATGAAAAAGTTGGAAATATTGTGAGAATTACCAAATTGTGACCCAGAGACACAAAGTGAGCACATGCTGTTGGAAAAATGGTGCTGATAGACTTGTTCGATGCAGGGTTGCCACAAATCTTCAGTTTGTAAAAGCGATATCTATGAAGCTCAGTAAAGTGAAGCACGGTAAAATGAGATGTGCCTGCACTTCTATCACCCATGTGTCATCCGTTTTCTGTAATTGATTGGCTGAAGGAACACACACACATTCACATATTTGAAATAATTTTAAAGGATGTATCTTATAATTAAAATTATGACATTTCTTAACAAATCTTTTCCCTTTCTTTCACTTGAAAAGATTACTGATTTTCTGTAATAGTTATTTTAAGGTATATTTCAGCATATTCTCATCCTTTTTTCCTCCTCTCCGCCTTGCTTTTCCTTTTTATTTTTTCTCTAAATCAAAGAAAAATTTACATAGAGGAACCTAGGTCAACTGATCTTAGTGCTTCTTTCATAAGGGTAATACATATAATCACAAGGCTTTTAGACAACATTATAGTGAATATAAATTCTTTTTAATAAAATAGAAAAAATTACCAAGTACAATTTGTGGGTGCTGGTGCAGATTCGTGGGTCAGGGTAGTTTTTCAGCCTATGAAGAGCCTTTTCCCAATTACATTTATTCCTATTTGATTTTGTGTGTTTCTTTTACTTGTGCTCTCTTCTAACTTGTCTCTTCCCTGTTGCTTTCCTTTATGCACCTCCTCTATTTGCAGTGGAGATGTTTCATTGAAACTGCATCTAGTATTGGGATGCCATAGAGGAACCTTTGTATTTTATAAATTTCAACTAGATTTTTTTCTTTGTGCTCTTCTGCGAGTTTGAATATAGAAGCAATATTGATATGAAGTAAATAGCTTGGAAGTGTATAAGTCATAGTTTAATCTTCAGATCTCTTGAAGAGATCTGTAGTTTTCAGAAAAATTCTTCTTTGAGGAGGACACATTTACTTGCAACTTTGCACCAGAATTAAGAATTTTGTAAAAGTGTGAGAAAAATTGGCCACTTTTAAGTTTCCTTAGGTAAAACTGATAGTAATTTTATTCCTATTTGTTTTTGCTAGCTTTATCATATAAGATGTTTCAGCTGGAGGAAAAAATAAGGCAAGAAAGACTATTAAATCTTTCTTTAGACTAAGTGGTTACAAGGAAAGTTAATTTTCAGAATCTCTCAAAATATATTATTGTTATTATTATCTTTTGGTCATAAGAGTTATTCTGTTTTAAAATTTATTTATTATTTCTTGTTTTTCCTTTCTTTTTATTTTATTTTTTATTATACTTTAAGTTCTAGGGTACATGTACACAACGTGCAGGTTTGTTACATATGTATACATGTGCCATGTTGGTGTGCTGCACTCGTTAACTCATCATTTACATTAGGTATATCTCCTAATGCTATCCCTCCCCCCTCCCCACACCCCACAACAGGTCCCAGTGTGTGATGTTCCCTACCCTACGTCCAAGTGTTCTCATTGTTCACTTCCCACCTATGAGTGAGAACATGTGGTGTTTGGTTTTCTGTCCTTGCAGTAGTTTGCTTGGAATGATGGTTTCTAGCTTCATCCATGTCCCTACAAAGGACATGAACTCATCCTTTTTCATGGCTGCATAGTATTCCATGGTGTATATGTGTTACATTTTCTTAATCCAGTCTGTCATTGATGGACATTTGGGTTGGTTCCAAGTCTTTGCTATTGTGAATATTGCCGCAGTAAACATATTTGCGCATGTGTCTTTATAGCAGCATGATTTATAATCCTTTGGGTATATACCCAGTAATGGGATGACTGGGTCAAATGGTATTTCTAGTTCTAGATCCTTGAGGAGTCGCCACACTGTCTTCCACAATGGTTGAACTAGTTTGCACCCCCACCAGCAGTGTGGAACTTATGAGACTTATTCTGTTTTAAAATTAATTAATTAATTGATTAATTTATTATTTCTTTTGTAGGGACTGAGTCTCACTGTGTTGCCCAGGCTGGTCTCAAATTCCTGGCTTCAAGTAATCCTCTTCCTTGGCCTCTTAAAGTGCTGGGATTACAGGCATGAGTCATTGTGCCTGGCCATAAGACTTATTCTCTAAGAAATTTTGAGGCATAATACTTCTTCACTTATTTTATAAAAAAGCCTAGAGAAAACCCAGTGCCAAAACGGTATATGTGCTATTTAAAGGTGTGCATTGATAGGCAAACTTGAAAATGAGATGTTTTATAATTGACCTTCGATTCAGATGATGAGTTCATGCAGTTCTAGGCATTTATGGACATGTTTAATGAAAACATGAGGAATGCATGAAAGCTAGTGAGAATCTCAACTTTGACTTCTCCTGATATTTCAGACTATGGCATTTGCCATCATTTTTCTTCATACCTTTATTATGTCATCTGTGTCAAAGTTACATCAACCTGGATTTATGCATATTTATTACATTAAGTATACTTTGAGTATAGTATATAAACTTAAACATGAATTTATAGGTAGCAACAATAAAATATACATCAACTAATAAGAAAAAACAGGATTCAACAAGATAATTCCAGGTCCTGTAGTTGTCACTGTTCCATGATGAGTTGAAATTAAGAGAGAAAGCTCAATTTTCCATCTAATTGAATTTACCAAAGCAGGACCTTTCATCCACATGTTGAAAACAGGAGCATGTCTTTTCTCACAACCTGTAAACCAACTAATGGAAAGATTGACAGCTGGGTGAAGAGAACACAACCTTATATTTGGTTTCAGCCAGCCAGAGTTTTAATCACAGCTGTGGTGATGAGGGGAGTGGGAAGATTTGCCTTTCACACAGCAACTTAAACAAACACAGCATAATATCTCCATTGCTCTCCAAGTCATTTCCTGCTTCCGCATTCTTCATGCACGTCCTTCACGTTGCATTTATGGAAACTCAATCAGAAAGCTAGCTTTTGGGTTATTTTGTTTCTATCATAGTCTATGGGAATGACAAGATAAAGTTACTACTAATCACTGAAGCATGTGGGGAATTAACCAAAAAAAAAGGCCTCGACTGAATATATTACAAAAATTTGAGAAAGGGTTATATTTTAGAAGTCCACTCATTTGGACAGTATTTGAGTCTTTGGGTATCTTCTCATTCAGCTTTCTCTGTATGCACGCTGCCTTATTGCAAATCGGAACCATTGAATGCAGATGTTTTCTGTATTCACAGTAAAAAGGAGGCTAAAGCAAATACTTAGAAAGTGACCTGTGTAGCTGCATGTATTCTTTCTTTTGCTGGCAAAGATGTGACTGTCTCTTTATTATACATTCAAGAATGCTGAATCCTATAAAATGATTAGATTCAGGAGAAAAGTTGTTAGGCTTTGAGATACCAAATATGAATATCAATTAACAAGAGCAACAAGAGAAAAAAAATCACAAAAATCGTGGTATGTAAATTAAGAATGGCTGGGAGCAATTACTTTATATGGCAAAGCCAGGAAGACATTAGAAACACCTATATTTCTTCGTTTTCAACTCATGAACAAATGTAGAAAACATGATATAATGCATAAATTAAAAAGGATACCTATTTCATAATATCCAAGGTAAGGAGACATGGTAGAGGGAGAAGGAAATGATAACAGAAGTCCTTGAATAAAAGCAATTCTGACAAAAAGAGGGTGTGTCCTTCTACAAGGGCCAAGCTATGCCATGTCTCACATCCTAATTTTTTGAGTAGACTTCTTGCCAATATATATTTCCCCTGGACTCTAGAGTTTATAGGATGTGGTTCGCCAACATTAACAACACAGCAGTTTCTTTCCCTCACAGAGAAGCCTGCTTAAGCAAAGCAAGACATAAGCAGCTAGAATACTTTGCTAATTATTTACATACAGACAAAGATAGATGAAATGTGGGTTTTGTGTTTATTCTATATTACTGTCTGATCTATGAATGAATAAAGGAATAGAAAGTTTCTTACACATTTCACTTTGATTTTATTTACTTGTAGGACATCTAACAATGATATTTGAAAAACAGACACTAAGTCTTAGGTAATTCATTTTTTCCTTCTAATATTACATCATAGTGGTATTGAGTTTTCTCTTTATGTTCAAATCGTAGGTATGTATGGTAATAATACCATCTATCTTCTATAACAGTTTTGAGAATATGCATTCTACTTAGTATGTAGTATCCACAAAACATTTTTTTTCCTGCTTTTAAAGTTATAGTATAAATTCAGAACATTTGTTTGAGGAGAGCATTTCTAAAATAAGCCATAACTAGTGATGTTAGTTAATGGACATCTAATTTTAAGAGGAAATGAAATAATTTCCTCTTCATCATGTTTGTATATATGATAGACAAATCATCATATTTGTATATATAAGCAGTACCTTATTAAAATTGTATAAAGTACATGTATTTATGTTAAATATTCAAAACTTTGAAATCAAAAAATATTTTTCCAAATAGAGTAAAACAGTAGGTATTGTCTTCGGATTCTTATCTCCATTACCCGGTCAAGGCTAAAACCTGGTTGTTTGTCTTTTGATGAAAAATCTGTAAACATTTAAGTTTCATCATGGAAACTGCACACTTTTATGGCTTGCAACTTAATTAGAATTTTGGAGAGGTTCTCTCTCTATTTGCATTTTCTCCATGCGCTTGGTCTTATTTTCTCAGTAAAAGAATTGTAATTTAATGCTAGATTTGGACATATAATTCTACTTTCTTTTTCTTAATGAGAAAAGACAAAAATCAAGCATCAGACAAGAGACTAAAATATAACAGAATAAAGTACTGAAAAGAACAGCCACATGTATGTAAACCCTATGGAGATTTTAGCTTAAATCCATGTAAGTATAATATCATTATTTGCAAAATGCATGATGTTTGAAAGAATCAAAACCACACCAAATTGTTTAAGTAGTTATTTATATAATAAATGCTGATTCTATCTTGGATTTTTTGCCATGTAGAAGGAATTTTTCTTGTTTGTTATCTATTAATCTGCTGTCTATTGCTATGGATTTGCTTATTCTGGATATATCACATAAATGGAACCATACAATATGTGACCTTTGTGTCTACCTTCTTTCACTGAGCATATTTTTGACACACACACACATACACACACCCACACACCCACCCCATTACCACAAATGTTTATCTGATTATCCACTGATGGGCATTTGAGCTGTTTTCACTTTTTTTTGCTGTTATCAATAATATTGCTGTAAACATTCATGTGCAAGTTTTTGTGTGGACATCTTTTCATTTCTGTTAGTCAGATGGTAATTCTGTGTTTAACTTTTTGAGGAACAGCCCAACTGTTTTCCATAGCAGCTGCACCATTTTATGTGCCTACCAGGAAGGTACCAGGGTTCTTATTTCTACACATCCTTGCCAACTTTTTCTTTTTTTTGAGATGGAGTCTCGCTCTGGTGCCCAGGCTGAAGTGCAGTGGCATAATCTTGGCTCACTGCAACCTTCACCTCCTGGGTTCAAGTGATTCTTGGGCCTCACATTACAGGCACACACCACCATTCCTCTCTAATTTTTGTATTTTTAGTAGATACAGTTTCCCATGTTGACCAGGCTGGTGGTCTTGAACTCCTGGGCTCAAGCGATCATCCACCTTGCGCTCCCAAAGTGCTCGGATTATAGGTGTGAGCCACTATGCTTGGCTCTTGCCAACATTTTTAATTTGTTTGATTAAAGGTATCCTAATGGGTGTGAAATTGCATTTGCTTGATGACCAGTCATGTTGAACGTCTTTTCATGTGCTTACTGGAGATCTGTGTATCTCTTTTGGAGAAATGCCTATTTAGCTCCTTTGCCCATTTAAAAATTTGAATTGCTTATCTATTTGTTGTTGAGTTGTAATGGTTCTTTATGTATTCTGGATATTAATCCTTTATCAGATATAATTTAAGGGATACTAATTTCATATCAGAATAACTACAAATTGTGTAATATCCTTTGATACACAAATATTTTAATTTTTTATGAAGTCCAACCTATCTATTTTTACTTTTATTGCTCATGCTTTTGTGAAAGTTTAGGAATCCATTTCCAAATCTAAAGTCATGAAGATTTAAGTGTATGATTTCTTTAATAGTTCTATAATTGTAGCTTTCATATTTAGGTCATTGATCCATTTGGAGTTTTTTTTTAATAAGGAGTGAGGTAGGAGTCCAACTTTATTGTTTGTGGTTATACATTTGTTCCTGCATCATTTATTGAAGAGACTCTTCTTTCTCTGTTGAATGGCCTTGGCACCCTTGTCATAAATCAATTCATCATAGATGTTTGGGTTTATTTCTGGATCTCAAGTTTTATTCTGTTGTTCTGTATATCTATTATTATGCCAGTACCATACTGTTTGGGTTATTTTATCTATGTAGTAAGTTTTGAAATTGGAAATTGTGAGTCTTCCAACCATATGTTACTTTTGAAGTATTGTTTTGGCTATTTGGGGGTTCTGTGCAGTTCCATATGAATTTGAGGAACTGTAGATTGATTTGGGTAATATTGTTAGATAACAATATTAAGTCTTACAATTCATGAACATGGGAAATAGTTTCACTTATTTAGGTCTTTTAAAATTTCTTTCAGCAATGTTTTATAGTTTTCAGTTTATGTCTTTCACCTTTGTTAAATGTATTCCTGGGTATTTTATTCTTTTGGGTGCTATTGTAAATGAAATTGTTTTAAATTTCCTTTTCAGTTTGTTAATTGCTGATGTATGAAACACAACTGATTTTTGTATGTTGATCTTATACCCTGCAAGTTTGCTGAATTTGCTTATTAGCACTGGTAGGTTATTTTTGTGGATTCTATGGGATTTTGTCATTTGCAAATAGAAGTAGTTTTACTTATTTGTACTTCTAAAGGTGTCATAAATTTGGATGTCTTTTATTTCTTTTTCTTGAATCATTCCTTTGATTAGAACTTCCAGTACAGTGTCAAATAGCAGTGGTCAAAGCAGGCATCGTGTTTTCTTCCTGATCTTAGGGGAAAGCTTTCATTCTTTCACGATTAGTATGATGTTAGCTATGGGTTTTTCATAAATGCCCTTTATCATATTAAAGAAATTCTTTTCTCTCCTAGTTTGTGAGTCCTTTTTTTAATCATGAAAGGATATAGAATTTGGTCAAATACTCTTTCTGCATGTATTGAGATAATCATGTAATATATTACTCCATCTCCTTAATGTGGTGCATTATATTAATTGATTTTCATATGTTCAATCACACTTGCATTCCTGAGTTACACTTCATTTGGTTGTGGTGAATATGTTTTTAAAATGTGCTGTTGGATTTGGTTTGCCAGTATTTTGTTGCAGAATTTTACATCTGTATTAATAAGGGATTTTAAGTTATAGTTTTCTTTTGATGTCTTTGTTTGGCTTTAGTATCAGAGTAATGCTGACCTCACAAAATGTGTTAGGAAGTGTTCCCTCTCCTGCTTTACTGGAAAAGTTTGAGAAGGAATGGTGTTAATTCTTATTTTAGTGTTTGGTAGAGTTAACCAGTGAAGCCATGTAGCACAGACTTTTCTTTGTTGGGAAGTTTTTGAATATTGAGTCTGTTAAGGTTTTTTCTTTAGATCTGTTAAGATTTTTTACTTCTTAAATCAGTTTTGATAATTTATGTGTTTCTAGGAATTTGTCCATACATCTAGATTACCTAATTTGTTGCTGTACATAATTCCAAGTAATCTCTTATAATTCTTTTAGTTTCTATAAAGGTCAATACTAATGTCTTTGCATTCTTGTCAGATTTTAGTTATTTTCATCTTTCTTTTTTTATAGTCAGTGTGGCTAAAAGTTTGTTGGTTTAGTTGGTGTATTAGTCAGGGTTCTCCAGAGAAACAGAACCAATAGGATATATAGAGATGGATAAGAGGAGATTTATTATGGGAATTGGCTTATGTGATTATGGAAGCCAAGAGGTCCCATGATATACTGTCTGCATGCTGGATAACCAAGAAAGCCAATTGTATAATTCAGTCAAGAGTCTGAAGGCTGGAGAACCAGGGAGCAGATGGTGTAATTCAAGTCTGAAGCTGAAGGCCTGAGAACTGGGGAGGCTACTAGTATAAGTCTCGGAGTTTGAAGGTCCCAAAACCAGGAGTCTTGATGTCCAAGGGTAGGAGAAGATGAATGTCCTAGCTTGAGAAGAGAGAGGACATTTGCTCTCCCACCTTTTTCTTCAATTTGGGTCTTTAGTGGAGATACCTGCCCACATTGAGTAGGGCAGATCTTCTTTACTTTGTTAACTGATTAAAATGCTAATATCTTCTGGATACACAAAAGTTGACATAAAAAAATTAATCATTACAGTTCATTTAAAAAAATATTTTGGTCTCTAGAACTTCGTTCTGTTATCACTTTAGTTAGGACCATGGCTATCACCACCACCACCACCACCATCACCACTAACCCCATAACCACAACCTCCATCAACATCACCATTACCAGGACAACCATCACCACTGCCACTACCACCACCAACACCACCACTCTTATCACCACCATGACCACCACCAACACCACCACTACCACCATAATCAAACCTCCATCAATACCACCATTACCAGGAACAACCACCACCGCTGCCACCACCACCACCACTACCATAACCACAACCACCATAAACACCACCATTCCTGGGACTATCACCACCACCACTGTCATCACCAGCATGACTACAACAACCATCAATGCCACCATTACCAGGAACAGCCACCACCACCACCACCACCGCTATCACTACCACCGCCACCATTCCCATCACCACCATGACTAAAAGCACCATCAATACCACCATTACCAGGAACCACCACCACCACCCCCACCACCACTATCACCACCACCACCACCACCACCACCACCATAACCACAACCACCACCACCATTACCAAGACAACCACCACCACTGCCACCACCACCATCCCTATCACCACTACTACCACCACCACTCCCATCACCACCATGACCATCACCACCACCATCATCACCACCTCCCTTTTCTTCTCATCCATA